CGCACGTTAGAAGTTATATTTATTTGGCGTAACAGAACAAAAATAGCTAAAGATTGCATCCCGTATGTCAGTCACAACTCTTTGCTTGTAAAAGGAATGCACCTAGCTTTATCATGTCGCTTTCAGCTAGCTACATCATGTCGCTTTTTGGCTGTCGGTGTGCGCGCGCATTGTAAAAATGTTACTCTCATATTTTTTCTAAACGTGCCAAAAGAAATATAACTTCAAAAAACCAAACCGTAAGCCTTACCGCACTATTATACTCGTATACTTGAATATGACAGACAGTTTTCAAATTTCTCACTCTTTTCAAACCGCTCTCACGGAAGAATGGGTATAGTAAAATTTAGTAAAAAAGTTGAGCTTAGAAGATCGTTCAACGTTTTATAGGGCATAGGTACAAATATAAGTCATGGTCCTCGTAAAAAATAATATGCAAAAAATTAAGGCACTTTTTTCTTGCGTTTTTTTTTAACATCTATTATCTGTCCTCGAAAAATGTTTTGAAATAAAACAATAAGACCTAAGTTATTCACGTATTCTGTAATCATAGTTGTTCAGTAACAGTCGTTATTGTGCGATATCAACCTTCTTGTTGATTTTATTTAGTTATTATATCATCTACGTGATTTAATGTACAGATATGTCATTTACATAGGTTTTTTTTAGTTTTCTTTTGAAATAGTAATTTTCAAGTTAGCTAGGCCTCCTTGCTTGCTAGGTGCTTTCACCGTGTTAGGGGTAATTTTTTTTCGATTATACGAGTACATACACCCCATCTGATAAAATAAAGGATTAAAATAAATTAAGGACCAATTTAATAAAAAATGTCTAATAATAAATATCCCACAAAAATATACGACATATGAATATATAAGAAGTACCTATTAACAGGCAACTTTCCTATTAATACAAAAATAAAAGCTCTAATTTATGTAAGATTTTCATATAATTGGTAGGGTTATTAAAATAAAAGTCATAATCAACGTTGTATTATTTATTTTCGTCTGTGTTCCAGCCGCCCGTACAGCGAGCGGCGTTTACTCGTTACGTAAGTACACGTAGTAACGCTACTTTACCAAATTTTCGAAATACTGATATTATCTGTGGGACGATGTCCCGCAACGCAAACAAACTGCGATGGCGACCTTGAGAGGACCAGATGTGTACAATAATCTACAAAACATTCATTTACCATATAAACATACAAGACAAACCATAAACAGAACTATGTACACTATGTGACATTACATATACATTGGCTATTGCTGTTTGAACCGATCTCATTTACCCTTTAATCATATTTTCAAATAGTCATATAAAGCGACATGAAGTTTGTTTATCTAAATGAACACTGAAGGCAAAGGAAGGAATGCTTTGGCACCATCTGTCAATACTATTGTTTCGGAGATATCATAGGAATCTAAATTCATTCGTTTCAGTGCTATCCTAAACGATATAACCTAAATATTTGCTAGATCCGGATTGCTTTAATGAAATCTTCTTTATATTACATTTAAAATTTATATTTAATATACATTTATTAGGCTGATACGTTTATTTATACGCACATTAACCAATCTTACTTTAAACATATTATTTATTCAAATCTGTCAATTTTAATTAGACACATCATATTATTTTGCATATTTTTTTACTATAAATAAATATGCTTTGTAATTTACAATATAGCATTGTGTAAATATAATAGAACTATGTTCTAATAACATAAAATATTTATATCAAACAAAGTAGTGCATAACAACTAATATAATACCCCATTAAAGCGTCCGGATGTATTTACATAAATTCACAACATATAATTTATCTACATAACAAATGGTCTCTCAGTATCGCCTGCGCGTGAAGCCAACTGAAGCCGTGCGCCGTAGTCACTACACACTACTGCCGCTAGCGGCTGGCTACTGTCGAGCGACACTTCAAGTCATATTTATCATACAATGCACGGATCGTACTATTGAATATATTAATACTAGTTACGAGACCCAGTAATGCTCTTCTCATAATAAATTCAGTCAAGATACTAGAGTAAAACGTGATAAACTGAATTCAAGCTTCGTCTTACACGTTTTAAGCTTTTTCATCTGGAAATGCCCAATAAACAACTGAGCGCTCGAGATTAATTTGCTGCTAGGTTTCCGAGGGTAGATCTTATAATGATATTACCATCGTTATAATCACTCTTCAAAATTCTCATTTGTTTTGGTGATTATTTTATAACGTATTCAATATTTATCTGAGAATAATAATGAAAGTCCTACAATATAATGTAGACACATTAAAAGATAGTTTATTAACGTTTTCTATTTCTCTACATCTCAGTTATATTTCTGCCCATACATAATATGTATGCAAAAATCCAACTTACATGTCTATCCAATAGCTAGATTTTAAAATTCTAGAATATTGACTGAATTTTATAAATAAGAAATAGGTACATCACTGATTCTCGGAACATAATTTTCATGACTTGAGGAATAGCGTAATATTCTTATCGGATTTAAACTATAAAAATTCATATTCATTAAAATCAGTTTATTAGTTTCTGCATAATGACATGACCGAGTCATTTATTATAATTATAGATTACAATAAGTTAAAGTCAACTTCATATAGCTTAATTATTTATATAATTTATAGCCGAACCTATTTAATAAGTTCCAATCAAATGAAGTGTAAAGCGATGAAGATATAAACTTTTAATATTCTTTTGAAATATCTAGTAATAACTTTGCATAGTAAAATGTTAACGTCGTTATTGTAATGGCATTTTTAATATAAAAGTCGCTATGGCAGCCAAATGCTGTATTTTTTATCGTACAATGATCTTTCCAATAATACGACCCGAAATATTCATTCGAGACACGAATGAAATCAGCGTACCGTTCATTTAAATCTAGCGTTGAATGATGAACGCACGGATGTAATAGAATTTGTATTGGTTATGGTTATATTTATAAAATGTACGATGTCAGATGAATGGCTCGTCGTGAGGCGATACGCTCGCTCCATTCGCTTCCAACGCGACGTGAAGGTGATATCGTTTCATAATGTATTAGATTTTATAAATTCACTTCTAAAATCATATTGTCATCGATTTTCAACCTTCAGAAAAGATTATCGTTAATAAATATCCGTGCATGAATTCTCTACCGATCTACTCGAGTCGCATACACTTGCGACGTTCTAATTAACTACGAATAAATTCTCTTTTCATATAATTATGTTTAATTAATTTCATATATAAGCACATTAACATGTCAATACAATAAAGTCCAACTTTTATTATTTAGAGATTACTTTAAGATAAATGGAGCGCACGCCGCGGCGCGATGTGCGCAGTACAGTAGAACAATTCATGAGCGAACATTTAGTTTATATAAAAGGCGAGGTTCCAACACAAGTCCTAGAATTATCACAAACGAGAAACAGGTAAAACGGTAAAGTATCAAAAACGTTGTGTCCCATATCAGTCGTGTTCTTTGTGCAATGCTATTATAATAAACATTTATAACAAAACTTCTCTTGAAGTGTTGCTCAAAAGCCATTTGTAACCAAACAGCCTCCGACAGACATATAAATAAGTGTAATTATTATAATACGCTCTATATAAAATGGACCAATCATGGCAGTGAGTATTCAATCAGTGCTGTCATTGGTCGATTTCTACCACTCTTATATGTCTAGCAGACGCTAGTTATAAGAACCGGGGTATTATTTGCGAATTTCAATGTACGAGTACTCAGTAGGTGTGGTAGCGACGGCCGACGCGCGATCACGACCGGAGCACGCCGGCCAAGCTTCATATAGCGCCAGCTTTACTGTATTGTAGTTTATAAAGTTTCATAAGAATTATATTAATATAATATATTTACTTATCATATGCCACTCCAACAGTGATTTCTAATGATACTTTTTGCGATATAATTTTATAATTAATTTTATATGGTATGCCTAAACTTCCTTAAACTTTGTGTAGTCATAAAAGGACTAATACTTTAGAAGTTGAAATTCGAAAATAATAGCTCTGATCTTGAGATTGCGACCGACTTCCAAAATAATCCATTCCTTCATAGAATCAGCGACTCGTAAAAATGCCTCACTAAAATCTAGGTTAGTTTAATATACCGTTATATAATTAAGTGAACGAACAGGGATATTGGAAATTTAAGTCTAATAGACGTTTCAATATTCACGTAATCGCTCGTTCTACGACGGATATCCACCGAGTTGCGAGCTGATATGGCCTCAGTCTCAAGAGCTTCCGACGTCTGTTCTACGATACTCCCTACTCGACCTACTCACTTGTGTCCACCGTCGACACTGACTCGACACGAATCAGGAGTCATGAGGCATGCTCGTTGACCTCACTAAAAGCAGGACGGTATTTTGGGATGGAGCTTTTAGGGGAATGCCGAAAAGAAGTACCGAAATACTAAAGATCAAAAAGAGTTCCACTATTACCCATATTGAAATAACACAGGAAAAATTCCAAAATGAGCCTCCTATTGAGTAGTTTCAACGATCCCCTAACAACCCTACCTCAAGTAGCGACCCTGTATATAGAATGTTTAATGATCAATGATGAAATGTATCGCGGGATAATGTTGTTTTAACACCGTGTCGAACGTGCACGCAAGCCTCTGATATGTGGGATGATGTGTGTAGCGCTCCGGGCCTACGCCGGGTCTCCGCCGAAGGTACAAAATCGGAACGCACCTACATATACGTATTCAATTATATACAATGTACAATACAATACGATAAACACTATAGCGTCTACGGGCGGAGCGCCGGCGCGGGCGTAACGCGTCAGGAGGTAAACATTCTCACAATAATATACATCAACGCTCTATATATAACAAACTCACGAACGCGCACCACGCTCGCTAAACAACATAATATACAGCGGAATCGTAGCACTCTTTCGATTCGATACAAAAAATTGACTAGAAAATCTCAATTCGCTATGAGCACTATGTGTGCGTGGATGAGAATATGTCTGCGGCTCGCCACGCCTCGGCCTCTTCCTCCGCGTCGTACTGCTGCAGGAAGGGGTTGGTGCTGCTGTAGCGCGGACTGAGACCGCCTCCTGCACCCGCTGAACCACCCGCACCGCTTTGGGCGCCCGAACCTGACGCACTAGAGTTCAACGTCACAGCCAAGCCTGCCGACGTACCCGGGATGGCAGATCGTGGGGATTCCCGCGAGCCCGGGGTGCCATCCCGTGGAGTTAGGGCACGCGGTGTGGTGTCCCGGGGAGTTCCACGAGGCGAGTCCCGAGGAGAAGCACGAGGTGAGGCGCGCGGAGAATGCCGCGGTGACATGCGAGGCGAGCTCGCGCGCTCCGGCTGCCGTATTATAGACGACGCTGACCCGCATGGCTTTATTGTTTCCGCAGGACTGTGACTCTCTGTAGAAATATAATAAGCATGTTAAAAACTCGATTTCAATTCGTTATAATTTACCAAGAATAGGATTGTTACCTACATATTTCACAGCAGTTTTCACAATTTTATTATGTTCATTTGATTAATTTTTAACCGACTTCCAAAAAGGAGGACGTTCTCAATTCGTTGGAATCTTTATGATCAATATGATACTTTGGGAAAGACAGAAAAACCGAAACCAATAAATTAAATTAAAATTACCTGAACTGCTAGTGGGCGAACCGGGTGACGACACCGTCACTTGCCGGGAGCGAGGAGGAGCGGGCAGTGGGCCGCGCGGCGACTGCGGACGATATTGGCCGCCCCTGACTGATGAGAGAACCTGCAATAGGAACGTAAATGAGGCCATTTTAATAATAATGGGTGATTATATATACTGCCTCGGTGGTCTAGTGGCTAACATGTACGAGTCCCGGGTCGGGAGGGAGAATGAGAGAGTTTAATTACTGAGTTTTTCTGTTAATATGTTCTAGGTAACAGCCCGGAGTTGGGAAGTTGGCGGTGTCTCACCCCCGTGCCTCGGAGAGCACGTAAACGTCGTGTTGACGTATCGTCCATTCGGGCTTTGAGAGTAAAAAGAACAGAGAGTCCATTTGTGTCTGCGCGTACACTTGTGCAATATAATATCTCTTGCACATTTGGCTAGTTTCAATGAAATTGAAAACTGTGGCGGAAATCGGTCAGAAGGATATTATTATTATTAATTATAATAATTGAAACACCAAGAGAAAATCAACTACTTGATCGTGTTTCATTCCATTCCATTTGCTCTCATGAATGATCTAAATTTGAAAAAAAAAGAATTGTTACTAATTTGAAACGGTTTTAACTTTTGTAATAATGTGTACGTACATGTGCGGGCGGCGAGCGGTCTGCCCCGGCCCGAGCCGAGAGAGCTGGCGGCGGAGATGCTGCTGATGCTGCCGCTTGATGCCGATATGGACTGACTGAGGGCTGAACTCGGCCTATAGAATCAAATAAAATGAAAAAATTATCGATTAAGAGGTAAAACATAGATTTTACACCGATTTGAAGACATAGTAAAAAAAAACAATTGAAGAAACAGGTAGTCGTTCACTTTTTTGCCGTTAATTTATAATAAAATCTTTTAATTTAATATTAATTATCGGTTACAATAATGTTAGTACTATAAACCTAATCTTAATTCAAATGATGTATACAATTATTAAAAAAAAATTTCAGTGCGGTGTTGAAGATTTGTTAATGATCAAATGACAAATATTTAGCAAGCTGATGAGCCATCACATTGATAACTGTAACTACTCGTAAATGGCAACATTCAATGAAAAATGTAAACGAACGAACTCGAAATAAAATAATTCAATAAACAACAAGTGTAAAATAAATGTATAAAAATATTTTAAAAGCGAGTAAATTCCAACAGTTCGACACGGCTTAGAGACACTAAATTTAAAGACTACAATAAACGAGAGAAAATTCCCATAGAGCTAACATTGGTATTCATACTTTAATATTATAAAAAATAGACAATATACTCATAAACTTCGAAAATACTATCGCTTTTACTACTACCGCTTTTACCACAACAACCATGAGCAGACCAAGTTCTCTTTTGCTTAAATTACTTCCAAGAGGTAATATTAAGTACATAGATATTATGTTTAACTAAGGTTAAATTATCCCTTTATTAGCAATAAGTATTTGATTTGTTTGGCCTCAGCCAAGATGAGCAACAAAATACACGACTTGAATGAAAATAAAAGCTTAAACTTCCATCAGTTATTTCATCTCAATTTGAAGAGTCTGAGAGTTGAGCTTTCTGATAAATTAATCAATATTGCGTATTTTTATTGAGAAAACAAATATAGCTCGGTCTATTTCGTATCAAATATTTCTCAAAAAAACAATTGGAGTATTTTTGGGCAATTATCAATCCCTTTAAGCATCATTCTAATGTCACAGTTCAAGGAAAAGAACTAACTCCCGGATAATAAAAGATCCTAACCTTGGAGTGTGGCTGAGGCCACTGGCGACGCACTGACTCTGTTTCCACGCGGCCCGGTTGCTGGCTCGCCGCGCCGAACTGTCTACAAACATACATGCGTTAAGGTACCGCTTAGTTTAATCACAACAACGACAACGATCATGCACAGATATTGACATCATGCGAGTGACAAACCTTATGTGCGTTTAAAGAATTTTATTCAATTCTTATAGATCGATTTTTGAACGGTTCGATTCTATTTCTATTCGGTCTACTTTTTCGCGAGAAACGTATTAACTTAGCATTTCTTAAACCTTTCCGAATTTGCTGAGGCTATATTATGGTGTGAATAAAGTATGTAGTCTTATTTTTGCATTTTTGAAAAATAAGGAATTGGCACATAATAGGTTTATCAGGCGCAGCATAGAAAAAGCGAAACTAGAAGAAATATAAATGGCTGTTCAGGTGTAATGCAATATTAAATGTGTAAATAATGTAATTTTTATAAATATTTCTCTACCATGAATAGATATGTATTCTATTGTATGTACATTGTACATACAATAGCAAATATACAAAACTAATTTAACTAAAATTCATTTTAATAATCATTTTATTTGACTGACATTCTATCTATAAAATGAATATAGGATGATAGAACAAATGAAAACTCATGGTAGAGATAGTCAAACTGTACTTGCACCATACTTAGTAATTGTATATGAATTAGAAATAATTTGACAAAAAATAATTTTCATAGGTATTAATTTTAATATAAAAAAATATGTAATATGATAAAATTATATAGGAGAACTGTTAAGCTAAGCTATCTGTCCATATATTCAGATTATAACAAAAATAATATATAGATAGCTGTTAAGAATTAAGCCAGATATACAATAATTACTAAGTATGGTGCTTTGATTTGAAACATCCATGTGAAGAAATATATGTTAGTGAACAGTATTTAATGTAAAAAGTTGGTTAGTTAAAGCATATTTTGTACTTCTGGTATGACAAAGGCGTAAGTAAAAAGCGCGACTTAACTCTTCTTATATGACTTTTCAGTCAATATCACTATAGTAGATTAAAATAGTTTCATTTCTTAAAATTGTTACATATTATTTGTAATACAAAAAAACTGCCTTTATAATTCCAGAATAATTGACAAGAAGCGACACGGACGACGACATTACCTGAACGTTTAGGTGGTGGCCATATTTGGAGAAGACATTGCAATACGTGAATCGGTCGATGATAGTCCAGCTCTGTTGTTGGTTGGGAGTGAAGCATTAATGGCGGAGCCATAGCCACAGCTAGGTGTTGAGGTGACATTTTGTTTCTATCTTGAGCTGCCACGACTAAAGCTAAGTGGTCGAGGAGGAAGACCAAAGTAGCTCGCGCCGCGCGTGGCAAGCATTCCACTATAGAAGCCATTAGACGAGCGTTACCTTCTTTATCGTCTGGTAAACATACTCCTGTAAATATTACAATTCAGTTATATAAAGATATCAAGAATAGTAGTTAAGTTAGATATTCTGATATTAGCTTTTGTCAATAAGTTATAATTATCAGGGCGGATTTAAACTCAGGATCACATTCATGAATTAAGAACTTCCAAGGCTCATTAGCTTTATTAACAATAACTTACCTAGAGCATCTAACGTCATTTGAAACAAGCAACGGCTAAATAATGGCTGAGGTAACTCGGTCAAGTAATCCTTCAACACTCCAGTAATAACGTTTATATCCGGAACAGAGTCTGGGGTTAACTCGACTCCACGCGCATTTCGTTCGAATGCTTCTCGTAGTATACGTTTTTTATTTGCTGACCCGCACAGTCGATAGAGACCTAAGCAGAAAAAAGAAAACCATATCAAAATAAATTAGAATTAATGATTTTAATGCTTCAATTAACACAGTGTTTTAATTAGGATCGTACACAAAGTAATATTGATAGCTTACGACTAATTATAAGATTCTTATGCGTAACAAAAGATAGCAACTTTTATCAAAGTACCACACGAGCAGAGTCGCGGGCAAAAAATGTATGAATTTATGAACTATAAATAAAATTACCTATAATATCCAAACCGCGTCTCTCGATTTCCTCGACGCAACGTCGCACAACCAGTGGTACGGGGGGTGCGTGAGGCGGCCGTAGCTCCCTGGCCACCACTGTTTCCAGTTCAGCCCCGAACAGTGGTGGGGTTGCGAGACGTGGGGCTGCAGCACGTCTGCGGAAGAGCTCATGTGGCTCCGTGTGCCGCACTCGCATGTATAGAGTACCGCGCGGTTCCATCTGGTATATTAGATATTCATGTTTTAAAAGATTTTTTAAATATAATTGTATGACGGATAAGTTTTATTTATAGGTACTGATTTCTATGATATCAGTAGTTTCAGTTCAATAATTTATTTTTTATCTTATTATTTCTGGTTCTTCCTCATTATGATTAGTGTATTATCGATTTTTTTACATATGTATAAAAGTTATTTAATCATCTAAAATTATCCAAGTGTCTATGTTCTAATACTTCTTCTAAAAATCTGGTACAGTATTATGACACAATTATAAATTAACATAATACAAGGAGATCTTTTCACACAGATTAATGATAAAAACCTTAATCGCAAGTTGGTGAGATGGTGAGCGTGCAAGCAGGTCAGGTAGAGTAACGACGCCGCGGAAGCAGAGCTTGTGTCTATGTTGAGGGTCCCACGAGTACACGAGGACATCAAGTTGACGGTTGTCAACTAGTTCCAGCTCAAATGATTCGTCCCAGTCGAACTGCAATTCGCCTGTACGCACCTGTTTTTCATAAATGTTTGAATAATGTAATATTAATATTGTATGGCGATGGTTATAATCGAGTATTATTTTATTCGACGTTAATATCGGACTGAGTAACATACAGTTAATTTAAAATTACTCAAAATGAATTTTATGTATGATAATAAAAATATAAAAAGATATAGGTATATAATAGTTATTAAACAAAAAGTTATTAAATACTTAAATTCAACTTTGCCCCAAAATTAATAATTTTACTTACCACAGTCCTCGCTTTATGAACGCGATCACATTCCAAGACACAGTATAGATCTCTGGGAGCAACTGGTGGCTGTGATAGGGATCCAGAAGGCGGAGATCCCGGAGATGAACCACTCTGAGTTGGACGTAAGCCCCTGCCAGCGAGGAGATGTACCCACAGCATCCCGGAAACGCCTCCGGATATACGAGACAGACCTGTCATTGATGTTGAAAGGCCTCCCGTACCTGGCTTCTCCACCTTGTATTTTAGGAACTCTGCAAATAGAATAAATATAATTTGCTTAAATTAATTAAAAATATAGTTCTAATATTTGAAAACTCGTCAGAATCGTACATTATTTTTATTTATAAATGCTTATTTATCGACTTACAGGACGACTTACAAAAGTTACAGGTACACAAATTATTCATACCATTTGGATTGATATCGAGATGGCGTTGATGTCTGGACCCAGGTGTGGGCACAGGACTTGGGTTAGGGCAGGTAAACTTTGATCCGAGCTCCAGTAGCTGACGCACACGCCTTGCTGATGGAGAACCACTGGGCCCAAGTTGTTGTGAGGAAAGAGAGCGCGCGGGCAAATGTCTCGGCCGTTCTAAGCGACTTCTGCTGGCCAAGCCTAACGTAGAGCCGAAACGGCTGCCACTTTCCATCTATAAGCCATTTTCATTGTTATTCATATTAAAGTAGTTAATAGGTACCTTTTAACTACTACACCGTTTTTATTGTAGTTAATAGTTTAAAAATATTTATCATTATGTACAGTTTATTGATAAGTACTTTTAACTGCTTATCTATCTTGCAGGTTTGCTTACATGGTATTTAAATTAACTATAGCAATAAGACCATCACGCATTAATAATAATTATTAATGAAAATACTATGTATTTATCTTTCGTTTATGGACAAAGTTAATTTCATTTTGTTTAAATATAGAAATAGTATTTGAACATTTAAATTAAGTAATTTTTAAACTTTATACTCACATTCTTCAAGGCATCATGAATATTTTCTGCAGAGTAGTGGGTAGGGAGACGCGGACGCAGTGTCTCGTACAGCGCGCTGGTCGAAGGCGCACGCGACAGCCACGCGCGGTACTCGTCTGATGTGAACACTGACGGGGAGGAGGGGAGCCGCCCTGCGGTTATTAGCATCACTTACCGTGTATCGTTAATTTATGAAATATTTTCAAGGTTTAAATTCATAGAGAGTATGTTTGTATATCTCTACAAAATATGTGTATTGTGTATGTAGTAGATATAAACTTGCTAATATGAAACTTATACGAAAACACCAGTAACATACCTCTGGAAGAACGTAGATCTAATCTCGAAGACAAAGGTTCGGGTTCATCTTGTAGTACACTTCCTGCGCGTCTAGATAAACCCAGTCTATAAAACAACAAATTATATTAAATATATTTTTATACAAGCGCACAGCAAATTTATTTTTAAATAATAAAACGTAATATTCTTACCGTTGACCAGTTCCTCTCACATCTCTTGGTAAAGAATTAAATTTCGATCCGATATCTCTTCCCAACGTACTACTTCTATAGCCACTTAGACCAGAATAGTATGGGGTTCTCGTAGGAGCAGTAGCTTCAGTGTCAGAAGAATAGTCCAAGCTTCGATTTCGTCTAGTTGTGCCAAACTTGCTACTGTATGATGGTAACCCTAATCCTGTTGTTCCATAACCGCCTCCAAGTGTGGAACTTAATCCGGCTCCAGTCAACCCAGTTCCAAGGCCAGAACTTAGTCCAGACCCGACTAGACTAGACCCGGTTAGTCCACTTAGGCCTGTAGATGAAAGTCCTGAGGGAAGACCTCCTCCCAGACCAGTGCCAAGACCGGCTCCAGTAAGAGTGCTACTAGGTAGACCAGAGCCTGGCATCCCAACGCCACCATATCTTTGTCCGTATCGGGTTAAACTGGACGCTGTAAAAATAAACTAAAATCTCATATTCTGTTATTAAAATGAATTTGATCACATCTACGAGTGTGGTAGTTTCTATAAGTAAGTTAAATCTCTCATTAGAGTTATTTACAAGAACGTTACTTATAACAATACGTTCCCCTCGTCTATTATTTATAGATAAAGTGAAACACTAAACTTTTTAAATTTTTTTTTAATACCAAAACTTTTATTAATAATGACATACCAGTGCCGGGGCCTGCTGCTGAAGCCTTCAAGCTTGAACGAAGTAAAGAGTGACGTCCGAAGTCAGAATGCGTTTCGGCACGAGGTAATTGTTGTTCTGAGCCCGATCGTGGGACTCTACCTCCAAATCTTGTGCTAAAATTTAAAGTAATATTATAAGCGCGAAAGTACATTAGAGTAAGTTAAGGTATTGTTTAGGAGAAATTACGTTAACGTACCTACCTAGTGCCATATTATTATTGATACATATGTATGTATGTCCGATACTCATTTCCGGCTTTTGTCATTCTAAATATGCCTGCTGTTCTTATATTGTTCAATATAGTGTATTTATATTCTCTTGTAAAATGACAATGAAGATGTATTTAGATAAAGTTATTTTCTTATTCTTAAACTCACCTTCCACTTTCAGATGGATAAAACGAGTGCACCTTTTCTGCAAGACTCTCAAGCGTGTTGGGATATGATCGTTCGTACGGCACGAAGTGCGTCGCTGAGGACTTTGGCTGCTCTGTTATTACTGGCGGTGGAGGTCGGTAACTAAACGATAAAGAAAACTTTTTATTTTAAAAACATAATTTAAATTTTTCAAAGCGGGCTACTATTAAAAATACGAAAGTTGCAAATGTTTGCTACTTCACGCTGAAACGGCTGGACAGATTTTGATAAGATTTAATATATAGTTAGGCTAGGACTAAAAATAACATACAGGTTCATGTCAGGGACGCAATTGAGCGAAGACTCTCGAGACTCAACGAGACTCAAGAATTATAGTAGTCATCATATAATTAATTGCTTTTGCCATATTTGATTTTTAAAATGTAATTAATAAATATAAATAAATAAATAAATATGTTGGGACATTAACACACATCACCATCTAGTTCTATGGTAAGCTACGAGGCTTGTGTTATGGATACCAGATAGTTGATACACTCCACACATATAACTTTAAATACATACATATTATTAATATAAATAAACACCCATGACTAGAGTACACACATTCGTGCTCATTACACTGGCGTGTATGAATGCCCCCAGCGGGACTCGAACCCGCGACCGCTGACACAGCAAGTATGATCACTACACACGGAGCCAAACGTGTCGTCAAATTATCTAAATATAAAATATTTAATTGTATTTTACCTCCAAGTAGAATGATCTGATGGTGGTCTCGAATTGTAATACAGATCTAAAGGCGTAGTATCTGGTGAGAGAGCTCCAAGCTGCATACGACTTCTCTCTTCCCGACCGTCGCCCACAGGCCGCACCGCGCCGCCCGGACCAACGGTCGATCGTAGAGTACCATGTCTAAAAGGCAAATGACGTTTATATTTTAAAAAAATCACAGATTTTCGACTAGATTTGTGTTGACTTAATTTGTGTAAAATTATAAAAAAGCAGTTTATGTTTAAGGTTAGTGTTAAATGTATTATAATATCAATCAATGATTATTACATCCCCCTGAATTTCATTACTTAGTTCTCTCTCTCTCTAGAGAATTGTTATCTTTGTAAATCGGTATTAGAAATGTTTTTTAATGATTTCTACTATAAATGATTTCGAATATCCTTAATTGATTTTAAAAGTGCTTATACATTATAAATAGCTTCTTTCCAAACTTTTACTTTAAAAGTCTATTATTATATAATAACAATTAATTTCCGATATACGTACTTAAAATCTAAATTCATCATTATATATATATATATATATATATATATATATATATATATATATATAAATAAAATTCATGAAATATAAATAATCTTTTACATAAATAATGAAATTATGATGATTAGCATGAGAAATAAATAGTTACTGTGAATAAAGTCCATCAACTCGATCCCTGTCGCGGTCGTCGTCGTCTCGGCAGTCTCGTTTCAGGACGACTACAGGCGGCGGCTTGTGCTCAGCTCGAGGTAGAGATGGGGATCCGGGGCCTGATTTACCTATTCATTAAATCGGACTTCTATTTAATTTATATGTGCGAAAGTATGTGTGTATGTTTGTTAGTCCTTCACGCTGAACCTGCTGAACTGATTTGGATGAAATTTTATACACAGATGGAGCAGCATACCTTGGAGCAACACATTGGTACTGTTAGGCACTCCTCTGAGTGCCTAACAGTAACAATGTATGTACGAAACGCATACGAGCGAATCGAGAATACATCACTAGATTAAAATAATATGAAAAGAAATACAAAGCTAAAATGTTTTACCTAAATCAGTAGCTCAGTTAACAAAAGAGTTGCTCAAAAATTCATAAATATAAGCAAGGTCGACTTTTGTGGTGCATTGCTAACCTTTTCTAGCATTGTTTATTGTGAGTTGTTGAGTTATGAGCTCGATATTGCAATTTCGTACAAACATTTTTAACCGAAACAAATACTCTAGTCTGTAAGGCTTTTATTCTAAGATTTTTATTTTAAACATATTAAGAAAATAAGTACCGGTATGATGATATTTGTGTATTTCAGAAAAATCTGTACCATTGTAATAATAAAGCTAATACGTATGATAATACGTTAGATACTTTTTCTTTACCTTTTCTCTGTCTAGTGCAAAGCAACAACCGGCGTGGTATTGACATGATTATAACCACGTCGTCCAATGACATGCGCCTCACATCCACCAAGTTAACTGCCAAAATCTCATCACCCACCTAAATATATGAGAATAAATAATTTCTTATCAAGTTTAGTTTTAGATATAAAATGAACATTACATTTGCAACTCTTATTTTGTAACTAAAAGGTAAGTTATATCGAGTTATAGATCTTAAAACATTTTAATGCCATCTTAATTAATAACTATAAAAAAATTACCATTCTTAACGAATTTTCTATATAAAAATATAGGACTTCCTATGTCAATAATATTTCAATGATTTTTAAAATAATAATGGAACTGTTAAAGATTTTTATATATTTTGCTTCATATAATAAAGCTGTGGTGAATAAGTAACACACATGTACAATAACTTTCGGCAATATGCGTTGGGCATAATATTTTTAAGTACCTTGCATATTTTTTCAAATCAATTTAAATTCTAAATAAGATCCTAACATTCTCAGTAAAGAGAAAAAACGTACTGAGATCTACTAACATATCTGTAACGCACCATATGCTGTAGTAAGATAAATATTATCCTAAACCAGACTAACACCAAGAAAACCGACTGATATTTTATTTAGATAACATATTTATTACAATTTATGTAAAACTTATTGATTTGATCATTAGTGTCACTACTGTATAACGAGAATTATTTCAAGTGTCCTACTTACTAAGAAAGCGATACCCGTTTACTAAATTTTTTTTTAATTACCTTCAAACATCCACTATTATAGACAGCAGATTCCAGTGCTATCCGAGATATAAATACTCCGTCTGTTCTCGCCCCGCCATCCCCTTCGCGTATGTATAGGCCCAAAGTTTGACCGGGGCGCTTAACGATCTCCACGAGCTGTACTATGTGACGTGCGTCCTAATGCAAAGAGAAATAATATGAGATAATAGATGGGCTAGTGGAATGGATGGGCTTGTGTGATCTGGGTAGTTTGGTAGAGATAAGTTTGTTACATTCTAAAATGGTTATAGGATTTATAAATTAATGATAACTTTTTTTTCATATAAATGATAATTCATATAAATTTATTAATATACGATGTTATAGAATAAAAAGATTTATGTTTGTACGTACATAATAAGTAATGTATAATAATTAAACCATACAAAAGAACTGTTAAGATTTAAAACTAGTTCTGTGTACCCGCTGGTTCAATTTCTATTCACAGTAAATATTAGTCATGATATTATAAAACTGCATATGTTAGTCTGAGGTCTAGAAGTACATTATATATTAATGTGATTTATTAATTTCTAATACTTTTATTATATGACTTTAAAACATTTTGTCGCCTAAGATTATTTATTTGCAAAAAAATATGGAATTAAAATTAATAGTTGAAGTTGAAATCTGAATATTTGTAACATTAAATGTATTATCCTTAGAGCTGTCTCTATAATGCGGTCACAAACAGACGCAATACTTGAATTAACCGCAGAATGCGGCAGGACCCCACAATGCATAGCGAGAGAACTGAGAGTGCACATCCCAACAATACTCTAGATTGCGTTCGCATTCCCTACGATCTAGGCCGGGAACAATAGCTGTCTGGAGTGAGCTTTCAACACTGCGGGTTACGAGCCGTATTGAGGTCAATGGAGCGGGAAAAATTACCTGTTTTCAAACTAAATTAAATGCTAATCTTAAATATGCATATCGATGGACACTCAAAGAGTCGAGTGATGGACGTGTGAGCATTTTTCCTGATTTTTCCCCCTTTAAAAGGTTTTGCGAGTGTTAAATATTCAACGGCGTAATGAAGGAGCGTCGTATAGCTATGAACGTTGGTATAATTTTAAAGCCTGAATGGTAATCTTTTTTGCACAGAGTTTTTTTTTACTTAGTGAGCATTATGATACTTGCCTGTAGAGAAAAAAACTTCTTGGCGGCTTCTACATTATTTCTTCCGACTTGTCTCAGTTCAAGTATGCGTACTATCATCTCACCGCGTCGCTCCACCGCCTAAAATCAATGAATTAACGATTAATTTAGCACATAATAATTTCTTAGATTTACGCGAATATTTGACATTTTAAATAAAACTATGTATTCGGATTTTTTAGCGGATTTATTTGGATTTTTGGTTTCCGACGTTTCGAATGCTTTACAGCAATCATGGTCACGGGAGAGTCTCTCTGAAAAAATCCGAAAAGCTAGTTTTATTTCAAATAATTTAGCACATTTAACAATGCACATGCATACATACCTAAAATCGTTTATCTAATTAAAACTCTAATTTAAAACTTAACTAATTAAATTCAATCAGTTCATTATATCTAAATACGTAGCTTTAGGGAGCTTGAGAGACATATATAATGTTTATTGACTATTAACTAGATAGCCAACAGAAGTAGCTATTAAACAACTGTAGTTTTATTTTCTTGCAAGACTTGTCTTGAAAAAAAGTGTCTTAGAAGTATCTTAATTTTAAAGACCTATTACAGCTAAGAGTGCCTACAATTTATTTTCACCCCCTCAGTTCCATGTAGGGGAGTGCCACCCGTATTTTTAATTTTCTCTTAATTTCCTTCTTTCTTCCGAGTAAAAAGGTATCGAAATTTTAAGGGATCCACTTTTGCCTTTAGGATACGGAACCTTAAAAAACTTTTCTTTTTTCAAAAATTGTTATCAGTAACTGAATTAACTAAATAAATTCATTTAAGACTAGCACTTCCCGCAGCTCCGCTTGCGTTCAGATAACCAAAAACCAAATTCTTATGTTTTACATTTTAGTATATGTACTCTTACATAGCAGTTTTTGTATTTTTTCTCTGAAATGAGATATTTTCCAGCTGTAAAAAGTATCCTACGAGTATATGTTGACCCGGATAACCAGTTATCACCATACCAAATTTCATCAAAATCTATCCAGTGGTTTTCCCGTGATGCGGTAACAGACAGACAGACAGACAGACAGATAGACAGAAAGACAGACAGAAAGACAGACGGACAGACAAAAATTCTAAAAACTATAGATTCGGTCTCTGTATCGGTAATAAAGTCTATTTCAAAAAGATTTTCTAAAAAATATTTTATGTACAGATTCGGCTTAGTTACAATTTTATTATATGTATAGATATAAGACAGGAATTCTAATGTTAAGATATCCGAAGTGCCGCTTAAATAGCATGAGAGGTATTTACCTCGAGCGCCGAGGCCGTAGCGGCGTCGTGATCGTTCTCCACCATTTCAATTTGTCTGAATATTTCATTGCTGACACCCGATACCTGGGAATATTTTGCTAAGTATTATTGCTTTAAATTGTTTAATATAAATCCACGTATCTCTGAATTTTCGAGCTGATTTGTATTTCAACCCTTTTTGAATTAAATGGAAAAATCCTGTTATTTCTGTGAACTTTATTTAAATTTGTATTATAATTAATCGTTTCAATCATCATCTACTTAGTTCAATATAAGAATAATCTTATAATATACGTTTTCGTTTAGTTTAACCAAGATTATATGTTATTTTACGTTCTGGGAATATTATAATCTCTTTTTTAATAGTATGTGATAATATTTTTCTTTTATTTTTAACATTGCTCTCATAATTAGTAAAATTTTGATTTTCAAAACTAAAGTAAACGTATATTAATTAAACAGAATAATTGTTAAGATGCGAGTAAATAAAAACAAGTTTTTACTTAGTCTTCATTTGTTGCCTAGCGACTTACTCTCGCTTCGCTCGGGACTCACCCGAGCACTCTTATACAGTCTATATATCAAAGTCTATCTGCTTACTAACTTTCATTCAAATTCTTTTAACGTAAAAGAGTAACAAACATACACAAATGCACAGAAAAATACAACATAATGTTTCACAATTATGATACTATTCCGATTTTGATCGTGACTACTACTGCTAATACTTGACCGTTGTTTGTAAATTATAAATTTTAATTTATTTTAAGCAATTTACTGCACAATAAAATGGCACAAAAAATATGTAAAAAGAAAGACGGTGAATAAAGTGGAAGTCACATGAAACTTAATACAAAGTTACACATATAAGATAATAAATTAACGATATATATTTACTATATATACATAAACATACATGTTCATAAACGTACATGTACGTAATTACATATTTTTATATTAAATTACGCACCTTCCGAAAGTCCGGCTGCAGCACGCAGGGCGGCGCATGGTTCGCGCGTTGGGGCTGCGGCAGGCCGGGCGGCGCGCGTCCCGGCGAGGCCGTCAGGTCCGGCGCCGCGCGGCCATTCTCCTGTGACAGTCAAAATATTTTTATAAATAATCAGCACTTTTATTTCATTACATACATTTTCAAATCAAATATTATTTATCTAATACTTTCTTAGATTTATGTGAATATTTAATATTTTAATTATAACTTTGAGGATATTTTCGCGGATTTATTTATATTTTTGATTCGTGACATTTTTAATGCTTTATTTACAACTACCATTGCCCGCGGCTTGGCCCGCGTTCAGATTACCAAAAACAAATTCTTAGGTTTTACATATTAGTATACTCTTACAATGCAGTTTTTGTATTTTTTTCTCAGAAATGAGTTATTTTCTGGCGGTAAAAAGTACCTTATATGCTGACCCGGATAACCAGCTATCACCATACCAAATTTCATCAAAATACCTCGAGTGGTTTTTCCGTGTTGCGGTAACAGACAGACAGACAAACAAAAATTCTAAAAAGTGTAGATTCGGTCTCTATATCGATAATAATGTCTATTTCAATAAGATTTTCCAAAAAAAATATCTAATGTACAGATTCGGCTTAGTTACAATTTCATTATATGTATAGATAGTGTCAAGGGAGAGACGTGGAGAACCTAATATAAAATTACTACTAAATTATTTCACAAATATAACCAGGAAAATCTGTTAGTAAAATTTCAGAATCCAGTATTATGAATTAAAATTTTCCTCATAATTACAGAACGTGTATATAATTTCTCTTTGCTGTCACCCACATGCTTTTTTTATCTGTTACCGCATTTGTTTATAAGAAGACCGTTTTTTGTTTATTGATGTATAAGTTATATTACTGTTAAGTTTCATCGACATTTATTCTGTAAGTAATATTTTCATGAAAAAATAATAAACATACATCCATACATCAATATCAAATCCACAAAAAAAATAGTATTTATAATATTAATAGGATGATGAACGGGCCAAAGAATAATAAAAATAATTAAAAAACTACCAAACATTGTTTTAATCTCGATTAACTATATAAGGTATAACTTTACTTTTTTTACAACCATTTTTTACAACTACTACTATGTACCAAGATTAAAGTACTCACGCTTCGTAGAGTAAAATGAATTCGTATGAATGTGATGAACGAAAGTGTATCCACCTAAAGGTAGATGATACTTTCTATATTATTTCATATACTATTTTATCAATTCAATTTTTTGTGAATGGCTTCAGAGCGTGCCAGATTACTTTGTCAGTGTCACTACTCACGTAGAAATAAATTTTAACTACATTTTGTTAATTTTACAAATGTGGCATGTGTTAACTATGACAAAATCTAACTATGTCTCAAAATCTAAGATCATGATGATATCATGAACTTACTCTAGATTAAACGGCAGATTCTTTTGCAGCTTATTCCAGTTTAGCCGAATGATAAATGTCAAATAGATAATATTTTAGTCAATCACAAAGCAATCAATTTACAATTATTATGTAAGTCTTAAAGCTTTCATGTTTACTGATAGTATTTTTACAATGTAAAACAATTATACCCGTGACCATGGCGCTAATTACCGTGCCGAAAAGAAACTCATAAATGTATGTGAAAAACATGGTAAGTAACCCGTTTTACATTGTTAATCTAATATATTTAAACGAGCAATTCTTGTATATATATATAATAATCTCGGAAACGGCTCCAACGAATTCATGAAATTTAGTATACAGGGGTTTCGGGGGCGATAAATCGATCTAAATTAGTTTTATGTCTGAGAAAAACGCGTGTTTGCGAAATTTCATGCGGTTTCGTTTCGCATTATTCCACGCAAAATATGGTCGCTAATTCGCACACTAGGACATAAGCATCGTGGTCAAGCGGCAAAGGCGCAAGTTTGACAACCACAGGTTCGTCTGAGTTCATATCCCGGTCGGATACAAAGTTTTTACTTTAGCTTTTTTTTGTATTTATTCAAATTGTTAGTTTGTTTTTTTTTAAATGTTTTTATCGCCAAAAACTCCGAGTGAAGCTCGGCCACCCAGGTACTATATTATAATGTAATAAATGAAAATTTGAGAGAGTCTAAATTAATTTTGTGGAAAATATTCAAAAAAGATATCATTATATAAAAAAAGATGAACCTCTTATTTCACACTGTGGAGAGAAAATTGTCTCATTCACAAGTAAATCTGAATTGTAGCAGGTGAGAAATGAGGATGATATATGAGGGTAAAATTGAACTAACCCTAACGAGCCCGAGTAGCTTGAATAACATTGGTCACTGACAAAAAGAAGAAAATTGTGCACATTGCAAAGAACGTAACGTATTTGAAACTTTAAAATATACCTTCACGACGCATTTGAATGAAATGAATATAAAATAACAATATTTTATTGTAAAAAAATTCATTTCATTTCTAGATGAAATGGGACGCTATTTTAACAATAATAGACAGCTACAAAACAGGACATCTGGCCAAAACAAATAGGCTAGGTAAAACGACCGCACAATCTGAAAAATCCTGTATCGTTAGAGCCATATGGAAAACGTTTGTGAATTTTTGTATTTTCCTTTGTAGTATTTAAATGAAAAGTAGAGATAGTTATATAGGGATTATATTTAACAATCATATCATTCTTTATTACATTTTTAATTGCTTACAGAAGTCAACAGCGCACTTTATTATTTTAGTTAGATTTATTTGTGTATTTAAGAAAATAAATAAAATTAAATATTTCACGTTGTCTCTCCTAGTACGAGCATGTTAAGGAAAAACACAAGAACCCATGGGAAGATCGTTCTTCTAAGTCGTAAACTGAAACTGGGTTAAAGTTCAGTCATGAATTTCCATGTGTGTTCTTACCCGAAACCCCTATTTATTATAGATGTCCAAATAATTTAAAAGACGATTTAGGTTTATATGATAAAATTTTATGTAAACTATTAAGTATAGCTACTATAAATTCAGTGCACGTCGATAGTTTGTTATATATTTTCGTACATATAAAATAAATATCAGAATAAATTATTTTGATTCATTTTTTTTATTTTTAGCCAAAATAGTAAAATTCTAGTAGAAACGAATCGTTTCCCGGATATAATCACACAGAAATATATTCAGAAATATATTTTATTTCATAATAAAAATACAATAAGACAGATCTACGAGTATTTGGATACGAAAAACAAAAACTTAATAAGGCAAGAATATCTATATTAATTATTTTAACAAAATTCATGTCCATAACAAAGCCATTCGATTAAAACATTATAAATCAACAATTTCAAACAATTTTATATCCCCAACCCGTTAAGATCGTGTATCTGTAGTCGGTCGATCGAGGGAGGCGGGCGGTCCCTGACCTAGTTGTCGTACGCATGAGGTCACTGTACTGCAGCTGCACTGTGCAAGATCCCGAATGCCGCAGAGGTGACTGGACTACTCAGACGTATCTGCTGTTCTATTTAAATACCTTAGAATTTTAAAAGATTTTGTTTTACATTCATAATTCTCTTCAAAAATATGGGTAGCTTAAAGCCTTTTAATAACGGTTATAATAATTAAATATATTTTTTTATAATTACTGATTTGTACTTATTAGTTATAATATAATTTTTTAAAGGATTAAATTCATCATACATAAAGAACTAGCTGTTCTAAATCCATGTGCGTTATTTAGGATGTTCTATTTCGTATACGCTACGCCACGAAATTTATGTAATATTCGTTTCCGGAATTCCAAATAAGGCAATATTATGGTGACAGTCGCTTAAATTACATTCGGCTTTTATTACATTATTAAATTAATAGTAAACCCGGTTAATTTTATGTGACATTTGAAATTTTCGATATAAATTTGGGCTTTGGTTAGCTTATAACTAAATATAGATAATTGGGTCAGACTAGTAACAGCTAATAGCCGAAAATATATCCATTCCAATAAGCAAAATTTTACATAGTCAAAGTCTAGTGAATATTAGAAGTTTAAATATTTCAGGAAAATTAGTACTATTTTATCAGTTTATTCGTCATAATGTTATATTTATTTCTCTATACTTAATGGAAAAAAGGCAGTGGTAGCCCAGTGGTAACGCGCTCGCTTGAGAAATCGAGTGAAGCGAGTTCAAATCCCGGGTCTCGCACCTCTGATATTTTCATCCGCGAATTATTTTCCAACATGATTACCACTTGTCTTAACGGTGAAGGAAAACATCAGGAGGAAACCTGCATGTCTGAGAGAACCTAGCAAGTTTTCAAAAGACATGTGAAGTCCGCCAACCCGTACTTCGCCAACGTGGTGGACTATGGCCTAAGCAGTGGGACGTTAAAAAGGGCTGAATACAAGTACTTCATGGAAATATACTATTCTCATGTGTCATAATATGTTGTTATCTAAATTGGTCAAACATTTTTAGTTGAACAGACCTATTTTTTATTTTTTTTAAATAATTACTTTTTAATGATAAGAACTTAAAAATTACCCTTAGGGATTTTATTTATATTTTGTATAAGACCATCCTTGAGTTATATACATTAAAAAAAATCGATTAACAATCGACAAATATCTCGTGGCATACACACAAAACATAAACAAATAGAGAATCTCCTTTTTAATACCAATCGGACAAAAGGCTTTTAAATAATAGCAAAGATAAGAATCAATCTTACTTTACCGAAAATAAAAAAAATGCGAAATCCTTTCAGTAATACAAAACCTGAAATAAACAAAAACATAACGGCATTCCCAACAATAGTATATGCAAGCTCATGATTCATATCGTATTGTTGAGTCATTCCAGTTTCCCCGAACAGCGGAAACAAAAAATGGCGGGAACTTAAAATGCGATTACACGATGTCCCATCAGACGTGACTTTTCACCCACTTTCGTACCAATCACATGCAAGAAAGAACCTCTCCATACACCGTAGACCGTGCGTTCTGCTACAAACTACACAGTATATATTATAGTCTATAGTTGTAGGTTTTGTGCATTTCTGATACGCATTGTGTTTTAGTAAAATATATTCTATTACTAATGCGTAAGTTTCATATTAAATTAACCAAAAACAATATATTATAGTGTGTACCAATAATATTAGGGTAGGTATGGATTGTATTTTAAGGGTAATGACATGTTTACCACCACCAAGAAAATGTAGTTTACATAATACTTTCTTAGATTTACGCGAATGTTTGACATTATTAAATAAAACTATCTTTTCGGATTATTTCGCGGATTTATTTTGATTTTTGGTTCCCGACGTTTCGAATGCTTTACAGCAACCATGGTCACGGGAGAGTCTCTCCCGTCTTTTATTTAATAAAATGTAGTTTAATCATATTATAAATATAAATACGTATATATAGTTTAGTTAATCATAAGCAACAATTTAAAGGATGGTCTAAAGAGTTTAGTAAAAAATGTGGAAAAGGTTTTAATAAGCATCTACCGTGAATTCAGGGTAGTATTATATTTATCTATATATAATTTTTTTTATCATTAATTTGAAAAAAAGCTCTATATGAGGTATATCGATCATATGTAGTTAATTGCACGTTTCCAAAGCCCAAACATGATACAACCATTAAAAAAGTTTTATTTATTTGCTTATTAACAAAAAGTTGTGTTTGAGCTTATCTTCTGAACAGCTTTTACAAGACTTCACGATATTATTTTTAATTACAGAATATTTATATACTTTCTCTTATATAAGATACTAGCGTTTTCCTGCGGCTCCGCCCGCATAGTACACTAATCACCAACATATCATATACTGAAGCCTTCCTCGAGACACGCTGCATCTTATGGTATGAGTATTATTCCGATCGGTTCAGTAGTTATCGCAGTTTAACCGAACAAAAAAACCGGCTCTACATTTATTAGTATAGATTTACGTATGAATAAATGATTCAAGCAACAGTAACCTAGGCTACGTGTAATCTAAGGAACGAAAAAGGTTCTCACGAAATAGAAGATAAAGTCATAAACCGCGAACGGAGTCGTCTATGAAGCTAGCTAACAAATACTATTAACAGTTTAAACTGTAACCGTTTATCTTCCGAACACGCGATTCTAGTCCTTAAAACTAAACACATATAAATCACAATCCAAATTACGCGCGAGTCAACACGGCGATATCATTTGTCAGTATAATTTATGCACAGTAAAACAAAGCCGTGCTATTTGCAGACTTTCAAAGAAATCTATGTCATTATATACTGACATAATTCATATTTGTTGGCAGTGATTTAACGAAAGTTATGATTAGTTTTATTTGTTCGTATTACTTCGATTTATTTTCTTTTAAGTTATTTTCGATGAAGAAAAATGACTATTTTTGAACTAGGCTATAAAGAATACTAGGTAATATTTCAGAAAGGATATAATACCCTACATTTCAGAACTAACTTCCTAAATCGTTTATTTATTAAACACTAGCATTGCCCGCGGCTCCGCCTGCGTTCAGATGACCAAAAACCAAATTCGTAGGTTTTACATATTAGTATACTCTTACAATGCAGTTTTTGTATTTTTTCTCAGAAATAAGCCATTTTTCCGCGGTAAAAAGTATCCTATATGTTGACCCGGATAACCAGCTATCACCATACCAAATTTCATCAAAATCACTCCAGTGGTTTTTCTGTGATGCGGTAACAGACAGACAGACAAAAATTCTAAAAACTATAGACTCGTCCTCTGTTTCGATAATAATGTTTATTTCAATAAAATTTTCCAAAAAATATTTAACGTACAGATTCGGCTTAGTTACAATTTTATTATATATATAGATTTGAGCAAATAGTATCAAAAGTCTATATACTACACAGCAGCCACCATCCACTAAATACAAAAAGGCAGTTACAATTTAACAAATCCAGATTAAGGACAAGAGGCAATGCAAGACGGGACAGTTAAAAAGACGCTCAGAAAATCGATGGGCGGCGTACGCCTAATCGATACGCCGCGCCGTACAACTTCGCTGAATGGACTGCGCGCGCCGCCGGCCTTACGTAACGCGCAAAACCTGTTGCACTACTACCACCCAGTTATAACCCAGCTACACTAAAAAACCCCGCCCATCCACTACTGCGTTTGTTTAACGCTTACTCCGAATTTAGGCGGGTAGCCAGTGTCAATGCACCGCGGCAACCTTCGGCGCTGCACTCAAGGGTGCATAGTAGTGGCTTGGAGGCATGATAATGATCTTCGTTACTTACCAGTATTGGTATAATGAGGTATTTTATTGATATTATAATATATGTTTGTGTTAT